TCTAAGGAACTACCAGGACTTCCATTAAGCCCCTGGTGAATAGCTGTCACTTTAGTGTAGTTGATGGCGTTTTGCCATCCCGACTGTCGTCCATTTTTGATCCACACCAGAAAATGTTCCCATGCCCACCTGTCACTGGGATCATCAGTATCCCAGGTGGGGTCAGTAGGAGGCACAGCTGTGTCTCCTGTTGGATGCTTATCATTCATCACGTATAAACCTTCTGCAAACTTCCTAGCTCCCTTCAGCACTCGCTCTCTCTCAGTCTGTCGTAGTCTGTCCCAGAATGATATTGCTTCCTTCCCAGGCCAGTCATAGGCTAGGGAGAGGGGCTGAGCCGGTCTGGGCTGTCTGAGTAACTGTCTAGGTCTCAATCTGCCCGAGTTCAATTAGGGTGGAAGTCTTGTGCAGGCGTCCTCAAACTACGGCCCGGCCCGCGGGCCACATGCGGACCACTGAAGACATTTATCTGGCCTGCTGGGTGTTTTTGCCCCGTTTGTTTTTTTACTTCAAAATATGATAGGTGCAGGGTGCATAGGAATTTGTTCATTGTTTTTTTAAAAACTATAGTCCAGCCCTCCAACGGGTCTGAGGGACAGTGAACTGGCCCCCTGTTTAAAAAGTTTGAGGACTCCTGGTCTTGTGAATTGCTTGGGGACCAAATCCTCCAGCTCTCTCTGTTAAGGGTAGAACTTTGGTGGGGCAACCTGTCCCCCCAGCTTCTCCAGGTCCAGGGACCACTGAGGGTGGTGTGGCTGGGCTGGGGGTACAGTGGCCTTCAGCTTCGGGGCTCCTTAAGGGGTCCTTGGCACACCTGGGACAAAGGTCTTTACTGCTTCTCAAGAGGAAAAATGTGTTCACATAAGGGAACTCCGCCCACTTCCCCATCCCTTTCCAGATTCAGCGTCAGAAGGGAAAGTGTGCTGGTCTTTGGCCAGGATTCCCCATCCCCTAGAATGTAGTGACAAGCAAACAGCTTTAGGGACTGGGGTTCCCAATCCTGCAGGCTGCAGCCTTCTGACCGCGAGGCTGAGGGAACGGGGAGATGGAGAGCAACAGGCAGACCTGGGGAGAGGAGAGACAGACCCACAAGAGGAGGGGAGCGTGGCTCCCACAGCATGGCACCAGGGCGGAGTTGACCTCCTGTGGCTCCAAGGGGGTCTTGATAACGGACAGAAGGACAAGTTTCAGGTGCTACCATCTCAAAGGGTCCCCGCTCTCCCTGGGAAGCGTGCCAAGCTGCTCAGAAGTTCACAGCTGGGCATGAACAACCACGTGGAAAAGAGGACTGAGTTAGTTAATTGTGCCAACCTGGCCGATAATCACATGTGGGGCTAATTGAAAGGC